CAACATTTGTTGGTCTTCCGCCTCACTATTCAAGTGCAGTACGTGATTATTTGAATGGCGAATACGAAGATAGGTGGATTGGGCGTGGCGGCCCTATACCATGACCTACAAGGTCACCGGACCTTGCACCACCAGATTTTTATTTATGGGGTGAAATAGAGACAAGTTTACGTCGAAGAGGCCCAAAGCTATGACGACCTCCGCAGCAAAATAATTGCTGCATTCACGGAAGTGAAAAGTGTTCAGACACATGTAATTAATGTGAAAAATAATTTAAGGAAGTGTGCTCAACTGTGCATTGTGAGAAACGGACTCCATTTTGAACATCTATTAAAATACCATTAATTCTTATTTTAAGTGATTGCATATTTAAGATGTAAATAGTTAATCGTTTTAAATTGTTAATAGTTGTAAATACTTGATTCCAATTTTTAAATACGCCTTAATAAAGATAGTCATCGGTTATGTCTGTAATACAACAATATACATACAACACATACAATTTCTGTCAGTTTTGAATTATTGAATATGTATATTGAACAGCGTACTGTTAGGAGGGCCGCTCTGAAGGTGTTTTTTTAAAAAAAACTTTATACCCAATCCCGGAAGTTCTTTTGGTTTATTTCCCCAATATTAAAATAATACAAAAAATGTACAAAAGCCGCGAACGGCGTTACGTGCGATATGCACTTATTATGGGTTGGAGCTGCACTGCCTCGATTACCTCAACACTACGCTTTTATACTAAATAAAATAATCGAGTCAGCGCTTTTAATTAACTAGGGTTGGACATAACATCTCCCCCCTTTTGACGGAGCTCATCCTTTTTTAAATAAGGGATGAGCGGAGTCTTACAAACAATACAGTGAAAATTAGAAATAATTCGAATACAAAAATAATCATAAAATAGTAAAATAGAATTGGTTCAAATATTTATTGTTATTATAAAATCAAATTCAGTTGATACAAAGACAAAGTAAAATTAAACTATTCTTAAACAACATCTTCACAAAATTATTAACTTATTTATTCACATTATGAACTAGTGTAATTTTATAATATTTAATGAACAATGAAATAGTAAAAGATTCAGTGTTGAATTAATGCTAAGATTTATTTATTTTATTTTTTATTTAAAATATAAACATTTAATAATATTAATATCTAAGACACAGTGTATAAACTTAAATTCTAATTTAACATAAAACGTTATGGGATAAGCATCGTTTAGTAATATACAGTAGTTAATTATTACATAAGTTTCGATTTGATAAGTTGAATTTACCAAATGTTCTTTTCGTTTGATTTTGCACTGGCATGTTGGGTAAGGATATAGAATCCTTTTTATCATCGTCTGAGACTTCAGTTAACTCAATAGAATTACTAACTTTTGATTCGTGTTTAATAATTCGCCGTGTATTGCACTGGTTAAATATTTGTATACAGCAGCAAGAATCGTTATTTCTCTTAATAAAGCAACAAAACATTTTATAGGAAACATATAAAATAAAATAAATAATCAAGAAGTATGTAAACGATGAATATATAATATGATAGTAATTACCATAATATTTAATAATGTGAGATTGTTCTTGAACCTTATTGATCTCACTTTCTAAGTTATTTAAGGAATCATAAGAATATTTTAGTGTCCATGTCTAGGCTAGTTAAAGATATAGGGGATAAGTAGGGAATCGATTTATTTAAAACTTCTTTATTCAACAATCGTCTTCTGTAATATTAAAGTTTAAATTCATTTTATTATCAATTTTAATAGATTTAGTTGTAGATGGTAATAATTGAATTGTCTTAGAAAATCCAATACAGCTTTCATTTAAACTTAGGATATTTGTTCCTAAAATAGTAAAATCTTGTATTATATTATTACATTTTATAGTTAATGTACATTTTTCAGATTGTACATAGATAAACTTATTATTATTTATTTTATGCCATACATCGATTTGTCCAAATAAAAGTTTACAGTTACATTGAGATGGCAAGGATAACGTTACTTCAGTTAACAATTTCGTTTCACAAGATGGATTCTTTATTGTAGAAAATTTAGAAATTAAAGGACGTATAGAATAATCATTAGTGATAATATTACAATCATTTAAATTATCTAACAAACTATAACTAAGTCTATCTTCTGTTATTCCAAGATAAGGCTTGGTGGGTTGAATTAGGGCGAAAGAGTTAGGATTACTACGGTTATGAGGAGTTGGTAAGGGTATGCATTTGTATAAAGTGAACTTTAGAGACGAAATCAGTGGTATGCGTAGTATGAAAATTAATCTTTTATTATAATAAAAAGATGTGAGTTTTGAAATATCTATCAGAGTATGTATATATTCAACCGTTAATGGTACTGGAAAATCTAGTCGTTTACTTATATAGTTACTCTGTTTTAATAGCTCGCGAAATAAGTTTGTAGGACTTATCACACTAGGATGTAAAATGTTTGCTTTAGAGAATAAGATAGAGTTTAGTACATTATCTAAGAAATTAGAAATAGTTGCCAAAGAGCTTTCTATTATATTAAGTAAAGCATATATTTTAGATATATGTGATAATTGATCATTGTTTTTGAGAATTTGGGATAACACAATATTTAAAGAATTTATTTGAGAATTTAATTTATTTTAATTCATATTTAGTTTATATATTGTTGAGTTAAAAACATTAATAGAAGATTGAATTATGTGGATATTATCCTTCATTAGTTTTAGTAGTTCGGATTCGCTATTTTGACAAGCGCTAATGGCTGCATCGTATTTTCGTGCATCATCAGCATCTAGAGTGGCAAAAAAAAAATTCAAAACTTCTCCACCGAATTCTAAAGCTCGTTTATGACTTGTTTGTTTCTCGGTAGAAACTATATGCGACAAAGATTCAAATGTAGCAAAATTAGAATTTAATAATACTTCAATAGGACTTATGATATTGTTACGAGCTTGGGGTTCGAGATAATTAAAAACTGCCGATTGAATTACCAAAATTGACACTTTAATTACGGAACACTAATTACAACTGAAAAACACACTAATAATAAAACACAATTGTATTACTGATCACTTTAGTTCGAAGTTATATCACTTCGAAGTATTCGCTTATATCGCCAATTCAATACTGCCTCGGTCATGGTCTATACCGGCTTTATATAGGGCCGCAGATAGTTTCCAGAACCTTCTACTGTAGCGACATCTAGAATGTTCGAGTAGATATCGGTCTCGAAATTTCTGGAAGGATCTTGACTCAGGAGAGTCAGCAGTTTTGGAGTAAATATTCTAGTAATATTTTTTAGAGAACTAGGAAGTTCTGCTACTCGACACTAGAGGGCGCTAGTGTAACTAGTGTTGCCATGTACAAGACATTAATAGTGGCGCGCAACACTGTGCCCTCCTAAGACATGCTCGCCCCGAGCATTATTGGCCCCATAATAACGCGCCAGTCGATCCACATGGACGATCTTAGGAGTACATTTGGCACCTTTCTGTATCCGGTAGGCTACGTCATTGATCCTTGTTACAATCCGGTACGGCCCGTCCCATTTAGCTTGAAGCTTAGGAGATTTCCCTTTGCTGCGAGCTGGATTGTGTAACCACACTAATGAACCTTCGTCAAACCCTTTGTTGTTCATTTTGCGGTCATACCGTGTTTTCATCTTCTCAGAAGTTTGTTGGCCCGACTGTCTGACGTGCTTATAAATGTCATTCATTTTGTTCCGCAAGTCATTTGCATAATCGGTTATACTGCGTGGGGCATCAGGTGGTATTCCGGTGATCAGGTCTGCAGGCAGCCGTAATTCTCTCCCAAAGTTTGCAAAAGCTGGCGTCACTGATGTACTTTCGTGAACAGCGCTTCGATATAACAACAAAAACGGTTGTATGTGCCTGTCACAGTCTCGTTGCCGTTTTTCCACAACTTTTGCCAGATACCTTTCCAATGTATGATTAAATCGTTCTACCATTCCATCAGATTGTGGGTGGTAAGAAGTTGTTCGTGTTTTATGAGTACCCATAACTCTGCAAGTTTCCTGGAATATTTGAGACTCAACATTCCTTCCTTGATCGCTGTGAATCTCTAAGGGTACTCCAAAACGACAGAAGACTTCATGAACTAGTTTATCTGCAACTGTTGAAGCTTCTTGATTTGGAATGGCGAAGACTTCTGGCCACTTAGTGAAGTAATCCATCACAACCATGAAATACTTGTTACCACTTTCACTTTCCGGAAAAGGCCCCGCAACGTCAATGGCTATCCTCTCCCATGGTGCACCAACATTGTACAATTTCAATGCGCCTCTACTACGAATTTGAGGTCCCTTTACAGCCGCACAACTTGTACATTTGCGGCACCAGTCCTCGACATCGTCATGACAGTGGACCCAGTAAAACCGTTCTCGGATCTTCAGTAGAGTTCGTTTAACTCCCAGGAGGCCCCCTGTACAACCACTATGGTACAGCTGTAGAACATCCGGTACTTTAGCCTTAGGAACAACCATTTGCAAATGACATCTGTCTCCCCGACCATTTTCCCATTACGGCACAGGAATCAGCAAGCTGTCCCATTGGGCCCAATAGCTTTTCGTGGTCGAACTCATTGCTGAGACGTCGCTCCACTTGGGCTTAGGAGCACTGGCCTTCATCCATTCCAGAATCGGCTGTCCGAATCTTCCTGCTGTGCATGTTGTAGGCTGTCCTTCCACTCATTGCTGAGCTGGTCTGTCCTGAGCATCCTCACAGATACCACTTCCTTACCCTTTTGCCTAATACAATGCTTGCAATCTTCAGGGCAAGGTCTTCTTGATAATGCATCTGCATTGCCATGAGATTTCCCACTGCGATGTTCGATCACAAAGTCCTGCAGTAGTTCAAACCATCTCGCAACTTGTCCTTCCGGATTTTTGAACTGCAATAGCCATTTCAGTGCAGCATGGTCAGTTCGTAAGTGGAATTTCCGCCCCAGAAGATATTTGCTAAAATGCTGCAAGGACTTTACCACAGCAAGCAATTCCCGTCTTGTGACACAATAGTTCCTTCCGGCTTTGACAACAACTTGCTGAAGTACGCTATCACAATCTCTTGATCACCATTCCGTTGAGACAACACACCGCCGTGTCCTATATCACTTGCGTCTGTGTCAGCTATGAATTTCTTGCCCGCATCAGGGTACCCCAAAATAGGTGTTTTGCACAGACGGTTCTTGAGCTCCTGGAATGCAATATCACAACTTTCATTCCAGCAGAAATGTCGCTTCTCCTCGGTTAGCTTGTGCAGAGGTTTGGCTATATCTGCAAAGTTCTTCACAAATCGCCGATAATAAGAGCACAAACTTGCTCTAACCTGTAATTTTACATACCCCAAAAAGCTAACTTGCCGTTTGAATAGTAAGCACTTCTTCGGACTGAACTTGAGGTTGGCACTCTGGATCTTAATGAGCACGCGTTCCAGGTTTTGAAGGTGTTCCTCAAACGTACGGCCTACGATGATGACGTCATCCAAGTAGACCAGACAGGCATCTCCAATTAGCCCGGTAAGTACAAGCTCCATCAACCTTTCAAACGTTGCTGGAGCATTGCACAATCCAAACGGCATGACTTTAAATTGCCACAGACCCTTTCCTGTGGAGAATGCAGTTTTCTCCTTGTCCTTAGGTTCAATTTCAACCTGCCAGTAGCCACTTTTCAGGTCCAGCGTACTAAACCACTTTACGCCTGTAAGCATGTCCAGCGTGTCATCAATTCTTGGCAAGGGATAGCTGTCTAGCAAAAGACTAGAGACTAAGATTCATGCGATATTGTAATGCGCGGATGTATTCATGATAAGTTGTATCATAATCGTATTATATAAAGAATTAGGTATTGTTGGTTTATACCCATATAGTAATTCATAGGGTGTATATGTAGTATTTGTATGAGGGGTGGTGTTATAGGAAAATATTGCAGTGGCTAAATAACAATGCCAGTCATTCTGATTTCCGTTTACAAAAGATTTAAGATATTCCTTGAGTGTAGCATGGCTACGTTCTAAGGCACCATTTGTTTGTGGGTGATAGGGTAGCATATAAGGGTTTTATTTTAATAATTATTTATCTGTTTAAATAATTTCGACGTGAACCGAGATCGTGACATGTGCCGAGATCAGTCAATATTTATTTATTTATTTATCTAATAACAACCTTTTTACATAAGTTCATTGATTCCCTGGTCCCTGAGCTAGTGTAACTGTGTTTCAGGAACCAGTTCCTTCCCATAAAGGTCAGAAGGTCAATTTCTATATAATAATAATAATTTAGTTATTTAGTAAGTTAAACAAGTACAGAAATATAAATAAGAAATTAAAAAAATACACGCTTATTTTGTGTGTGTGTGTGTGTGTGTGTGTGTGTGTGTGTGTGTGTGTGTGTGTGTGTGTGTGTGTGTTGGAATATATGTGTGTGAGTATTGCGTGTGGTAAAACCTACGGCATAATTGCTTCTGTGCTGTCATAATCAAGATTCTCTAACCACACTCTGATCCTTGCCTTTATTGTTTTAGGAATTCCGAACAAAGAGACAAAATGAACTAATGTACGAGCTACTTCGTCACTGCTGGAAGTTACCATTGGATATACACATAAAAATTTGGTTAGGTCATCTTGTAGGGTTAATAAGAATTTGAAATTTTGCAAACCAGCTTCGGGTAGTGGACCGACTATATCTAGAGCTAATCTTTCGAATGGTTTTGTGCTTGTAGAAGTTATCACCATTGGAGCTTTATTACATGTTTTTAGTGGTTTATTTACTTGGCACAACTTACAATTTTTAACATAATTTTCTATGTCGGAGCGCATGTTTTTCCAAAAATATCTGTATCAAAAGTCTTTTAAGCGGTTTAACATCCTTTTAATTCCGGGGTGACCAGCTATTGTTGAGTCGTGATTTTCTTTGAGAATTCGTGGAATTTCGGTAGGTGTAGGATAAATAATTTGATTTCGGTGTATATATTTTGTATAGGATAATTTAGAGAACGGGTCAGCAAAATCGGAAATGGCTAAGTCAGTGGTTTGACTATTTCCTGTTATAATATCGTTGCGTAGTTGCATTAATAAATTGTAAATATTTCGGTATGTTAACTCTTCGTAATGGTGAATTTTTGTATATAAGAAATAAAACGTTTTATTATTCTCCTTAATATAAGAGATAGTGTAAGGTTCTCGTTCCGAGTTTATTAAGCTTTCAGAGTTTTGCAACTGTGATAGAATATTTTTACAATATGGGATGGATTCATCAAAGTCGAGTTATACTGGGCAAACAATATTATTTAATTTAGAGAGGTGTAAAGCTTCTTGATGTTCTTCGATTACAGTATTTGTGGAAATGGATCTAGCAAATTGCTTTTAAAATATGATTAATATTTGAGTTTATTAAGGACTATATTCGAATTTAAGGCGTGAATGGGTATGCGAGAAAGAGCATCGGCGTTTGAATTTTGCTTTCCTTGCTTATATATAATTTCATAATCATATTCCTCTAACTTGAGGCGCCAACGAATTAATCTACTTCCTGGATCCTTGACATTAAAAAGTCAGACCAAAGGTCTGTGATCAGTGACTATTTTAAATTTATTACCAAAATATAGGGACGAAATGTTTTTACAGCGAAGAGGATACCTAAAAGTTCTTTTTCCGTTGTTGAATAGTTGCCTTCTTGTTTAATGTTCTTGAGGCATACGCGATCGGTTTGTCTTTTTCGATAGGACCTTGCGATAATACTGCGCCAACGGCATAATTACTGGCGTCTGTGGTGACAATAAACGGTTGTGAAAAATCGGGATATTGGAGTAACGGAGCTGAAGCAAATTTTTCTTTTAACAAATTAAAAGCTTGGGTTTGTTCTTGTGTCCAATTAAAATTAACATCTTTTTTTAGTAATGACGTAAGGGGTTTTGTTATTTTTGAAAAGTTATCTATAAATCGACGGTAGTAGCCTACTAGACCTAGAAATGATTTAATTTCCTTGGGATTTTTGGGAATAGGATAATTGGATACTGATATTACCTTGTCAGGGTTGGGTGAGACACCTTTGTCAGTTATTACATGACCTAAATAAGTGACTTTGCGTCGAAGGAACTCGCATTTATCTGGTTGTAGTTTCAAATTGAAATTTCGAAACCTATCAAAAACAAGACGTAATTTTTCTATATGACTTTGAAGATCGTAGCTCTAAATAATACAGTCATCTAAGTAGACGAAACAGTGGAGACCTTGGAGACCAGAAAGGACGGTGTTCATGAGACGTTGAAACGTACTGGGAGCACTTTTTAATCCAAAGGGCATGCGATTAAATTGAAAATGTCCGGAAATGCCATTTGTGTTGATTACTGTAAAACCAGTCTTTTCAGCATCATTAGAATCGAGAGGAATTTGATGAAAGCCGGAAACTAAATCAAGTGTCGAAAAATATTTAGAATTTCCTAATTGATCTAATATATCGCTAATTAATGGAATAGGATAAACTTCATTTATGGTCACATCATTAAGTCACCCATAATCTATAACAAAGGGCCACTTCTTTTTGCCAGATGCATCCATTTTCTTAAGCACGACCCACACTGGGGCGCTCCACTGAGATATTGACGGCTTAATTATATTTTGTTTCAACATTTTTTTAATTGTGAATCTACTTCGTCTTTATGGCATTCAGGAAAACGATATGATTTAACGTGAATAGGAGGGATGTTCCCTGTATTTATCGAGTGTTGAGTTGCGTTTGTACAGGTGAGGTCGTCTCCTTCAAGATAAAATATGTCTGAGTATTATGAACAACAATCTAGTAAGTTTTTTCTCTTCAGAATTTAAGTGAGAGTGACGAATTTGTTTGCAGACGCTTTGAACACGATTAGAGTGGGTTGCCGAAATTGTATTTATGTTATTACACGATTCAAAAGATTTGGAATATTAATAATTAGTTAATTTAACCTTGAGGTTTTTTATTTTAATTTGCGGTTCGGTTGTGTTCAAAACGGAAACGTTAACTCTTTTATTTACCTTTAGTCACTAGGCAGTTCGTTAAATAAACACCATTACAAACGGTTTGATCTAGTATGAGTGCATCCTTAAGGTGACGCAACTCGGACGGGTCATTTGACACGAAGCATTCGATAACAGTTTCGCCACATGAGTAAAGAAACCGACCAGAGGGGAAGCCACATACAAACGGCTCGCGGCGAATACACCCATACATAGCCCAGCGATGTGTGCGTGATCTCTCACCGACAGGTTCACCGACGCTCCGTCGAGGTACAAACCGGTTTGCGCCGGCTCAGTCAGAGTATCCATTAAAGGGCTGTTAGTCGTGCGCATTTAAATAAATTGACCAACAATATTTCGAAATTTTATACATCAATTAATTTATTAAGCTTTTTTTGCAATTATTAAATAATTAGATTTAAGTATTTTAATTAAAATAATTAAGAATTAAGTTATTATAAATTTATATAGGTAAATAATAAGTGTTTTGTATAAGCAAAAATGTCTAATAGTTGTACAGTATACATGAATAATTCTAGAGAAAATAACGATATTTCCTTTTTTTACCCAAGAGATCAAGTGAACTAAGTACCTTTTTACGTATTATATACAATAAAACTAGATAATGACATTGATAGGTAAGTGAGAATGTGTTAGACAGGGACGTCGCCGAGTGATGAAGTCGGTCTCACCTACTTGAAACGTTAGTCAGTTTAACCTTGACAGTGCCGCAGATGGCAGGATATCTTACGTAATAAGGCTAAATGTGTGACTTTATCCACCCACTTTAGTATAGAGGTAGGTTGCTTCCTGGGGAAGGATATAAGCTACTTTTTGCGAGTCGCGACCCTAGGGGTAAATACCACTGCATTATGGTTGGAATACAATCGCTAGACATTGGTGGGGGTGGTGGGATTGGTGTTGGTGGAAGTGGTGCTGGTGTTGGTGGATAGTGTATCTGATGGTGTCAGTAGTGGTGGAGGTGGTAGTATCGTAGGTAGTGGTAGTAGGCAGTAGACCAACAGTGGCTCCACCACCACCAACATTTTTTCCTTAAATTTTTCACATGCATTATGTGACAACCCTATCAGAATAGGTATACATTTTCGACGTTGTTAAGAAGCTTGCCCTCTGGTCCTTACTCTTTACTCTGTGGTGTCGCTACGCGCCGGTATAATGTAAGTAGGTTCCGAAAAGTGGATAGGCACAGATATAGAATTTTTAAAATAAAGTGAATAAGTGTGATAATCTATATTTACTTTAAAATGACTGAGGAAGTCGCTTCCTATAATTCCGTCATAATCAATATTAATATCGTCTGATGTAACATGAAATTTGTAGTTTATGGAAAAATTATCTAAAATAAAATCTAACAGTAATGTTCCTAACGTTTCATTACAAGATTGAGTGCTGTTTATACCCTTGAGTTTTATGACTTCATTGGAGAGCGTAAATTTTCCATTTAAACTCGATTTTTTTATAATAGAAAAACTTGCGCCTGTATCGAGTAATAATCGTAAGGGTTGAACCGAAAAATTTGACCTAAAATAAACATGGCGTAGTGGTGTTTTCTTACTTGATATGTTCATAATATACGTTGGTATTTCACCTTTATTATTAGTTAAATCATAGGTAGGGTTAGGGTGACTCGAAATATCTTTTCGAGATGTAGGTTTTGTATAAGAATTAGCACCATTATTAGACATAGAATTGGTATAAGAATTAGTACAAGAATTAGTATTATAATTATTTTTAAGATTCAGAGATGTCCTGGGATGGTTTTCCCGAAGTAATAAATGATTAGTATTTTGACTTTGACCTTGTGTCAAAGATAGACTCGGATATTGTTCCCGAGGTGTAGAGTTAGAATAAGAAATAGTATTTTTAAAATTACAAGATTTAGTAAGACTCGGCGGCATTTGATGTCGTTGAGGTGTATTATAAGAACACTTTTTATGATAATTACAATTATCATTATAGGTAGGCTTAGTATGGGATTTAGTAAAAGAGTTAGTAAAATAGCAATAATTATTTGTGTCAGCGCCAGCTAGTCCGCTTCAGCGCTAGACGCTACGCTCGCGCCGCCTGAGTAACTATTATTTAAATCGCATAACCTATCAATGGCGTTCCAGCTCAACTATCTTTTCTACCACTAATTGTTTAAATTTATTGTCTACCTCTTTCCCTCGCTCTGTAGTCTAAACTTGTATTTCGAACTGTCTTTTGTGTTGGAGTAAAAATATTATTTAATTCGAGGTGTGCAGAACTTTTTATTTGCATATCATCTATTCCAGTCGTCAATGAAATGTATTTTTTATTTTATTATATTTATTATGACAGTTATCAGTTATCAACTAAGTAGAGAGCGTGTCATTTAGGAAGTAAATAGTAGGCAAAAGCTCTGTTCATTGACTCGTACACACACGAGCGCGCATCATTGTTACCCATAAATCATTCAATTCCGGATATTTTGAAACCTTATTTACGCGTACTTTTCAAAACTGCAAAAAGTGTATATAAGTATTTATATTTTGAACTTAATTATTAAATTTGGCTAGTCTTTGAAAAATAACCCTGTATACGTTTACGGGGTTTATTTCACCAATCAAGGTAACGTTTAACGTATAGCAAGCAACACTTATTTGAAACATAGTAAGTGGCATCGGTATAACCGTTGTTTATACAGAAGTTGACTAGTTTATAAAGAAACATTTTATCGAGCTGCTTTCTGCTTGATCATACCTTCCTATTAGGACTTCACGTATGACATTTTTTGTTTTGAATTAAAAAATACAATAAACAACTAATTAATGAGTATAATA